GACCTGCTCCCCAGGCTTTTGGCAAGCGGGTGAGTAGATGCAGCATATAAGACCAAGCTTCTCACTAACAGCCAAACAGCTCAGTCTGAAAAATGTGAACTGAGAGAGTCAGCCTCAGGCAGTTTCTGGAGGACACAGCAGATCACTACAGCTAAGGAACTGTGTTTCACCGAACATCACGAGACTTCAGCACTCTTCGGCTCTCATATAGACTTGAGAGATGGAGTCCAGAGAACATGGCATGGTGGAGAGGGCAAAGGAATGGATGAGATCACTGCTAGATCCAGCATCCTGCTGCTGATTTTGGAAATAATAATAATAACAATAATAATAATAACAATAATAATAATAATAATAATCTTTATTTGTATTCCACCCTATCTCCCTGAGCAGCATTTTTCCAAATGAAGCAGGGAGTGTTTGAGGATCAGTACATTTGTAGGGATACCAAGATGCTTGTTTATAAAGCTATTGTCTTCCCAACTGTGTTATACACCTGCGAAATGTGGACCCTCTACAGATGTCACTCTCACCTTATGGAACAATTCCATCAGCGTTGCCTCCAAAAAATCCTGCAAATCTCTTGAAAGACAGGCAGACAAATGTCAGCATTCTGGAAGAAGCAAAGACCACCAGCACTGAAGCAATGATCTTCTGCCATTAACTTCACTGGACTGCCCATGTTGTCCGAATGCCCAGTCACCATCTCCCAAACCAGTTACTTTACTCTGAACTTGCTGCTGGTGGACAGCAAAAGAGATTTAAAGATGGGCTTAAAACTAACCATTAAAACTGTGGCATAGACACCGAGAACTGGGAAGCCCTGGTCCCTGAGTGCTCTAACTAGAGGTCAGATGTTACTAACTGTGCTCTGGATTTCAAAGAGGTATTTCAAATCTATTCACATACTCATTTAATTCCAGTAATGCATCAAACTGATATCTGACCTGAATTTGTGCATGTGTGATGTTGACAAGCCTGAGCCATTGGACATTGTATCCAAATTCATTCCATAGACTTACTTCTCCATGTATAATGTAGGCATTAATTAGCAACAGCAAAACATCCAGGTTTGTATCCTAAGGACCAAATCTCTAGAACCTAGTGACATTCCTGCATACAATAGATGCACATATAGCAACTCTGTCAAAGTCAAAATAATTACATTGATCACGACTTTCCCTGTAGCCACTACTGCTGAATGAGAACATTCTAAAATACATATGAAGGAAAAGTCCTGATGTGGCAAAAGCAAACAGAGGCTTGTTAATGTCCTGAAATTACAAAACTCCCCCTTACTCCCTCCACACCCCAGTTATTCCATCAAATCTCAGATTCCATCAAATCTCAAATTCAAAGCCTGACAACTTTTGTGTGTTTTATAGCCTTCCTGTCTGAACTTGATTTATTCAGAGCTTAGGGTTTTGCCACTTTGTTTTCTTTGGAACTGCCAGAGGAAGAGGAGGAAGGAGGCAGAAAGCATACAATATTTTTTTCTGTGTTTAGTTCAAAATAGAAACCAAAAATTAAAATGTGGGATGAATTCTAAATGCTTAAGAGGTAATTGTGGTAGGGTGGGAAGGAAGTGAAGTTATGAAGAGAAAATAAATACACGTGGTTTACTAGAGTTTGTTCATTTCTTGCTTGAGACTCTTCTAAGAGCATTGGACTACAACTCCCTGAACCTCCCAATTACCACAGTCTACACTGAGAATGCTGGGGCATATGGTGAGTAAACATGGAGAAGACTCAATTGGGGTAGGGTGTTCAGAGGTTCCAAAACTTATTTGGCCTAACCCCTGGAAATCATTTTTTCTAAATCTTCTCTTCTTTCTTTTATGCTTTCACCACCCCCTTACAGTTATTCATCACCCCCAAATGCACCTGTGGCCATTACCCCCCCCCCATCGCTGCAGTGCCCACCAGGGGGCGGTAACGCCCACTTTGGGAATCCCTGGTGTACATGAAGCACCACTGTAGATCCACAGATCAACTAACATGGAAGCCACCAAATTTAAAAACAACACTTTTGCGTTTTATCAAACTGTGATGTTTAAGGTTGAGTGCCAGAATTTTGCATAGAATTGTGTCTTGGGATGATTATTATTGTTTAAAACCCTTTAAGTCAAAGGGGCATTAGTTTGTGGAAGAGGAGTATTGTTTTCAGTCAGTCTCCACTTCTGTTTTATAATCAGTTTGTATCCTTAGAGAAGTCACTCATCTCCATGGAATCCAGCATTCAAAGGGCAGCAAAACAATAACATTTCCTTTATTTGTGCCCAGGCTATGCTATTTAGAAGCATAATGCCGCTAAACACAGAAACTCCATTTAGCAATTATTGGAGCTGATGTGGTATTTTCACGGAAAGAGACTGTAGAAGGATCTTTGCCTGAATGGTAATGAGAGGGGTGTGGTGAGAGTGACTTAATTGTGGTACACGTACACATGTCTGAAGACACTAACAATCATTCTTATTCCACCAGCACTATGTAATAAGGTGTCTCAGTTTCCTTGGATTCTTCTGAGAATTTACTGATTTGTTTTGGTGTGTGATGGAACAAATGAAATGATGCTGATATGCTGTTCAATTATTCTCTTTTCCCAGAGATGGTTCCCCTGCTCTTTTTCTAGAGGTTGATTGGGGCAAAAAGACCCCTCAAAACAGACTGTTTTCTCTGAGCTTCTGCTAGAGAAAGTTGCCTCAGCCTGCTGTTTTGTTTGCATAGTTTTCAATGGTTCCCACATCTCAGATCAGGGTAAGCTAGGAGAAGAGAAATTGATAACAAACAAGGGGAAAGTCAGACATCTAATGATGACCATAATACACATAGAGCTGCCAAATAAAATAAAGGTGTAATAGTCCTAGCAAGAGTACACACATTCAAAAGGCAATGTTATCCAGTCCCAACAAAGGCTGAGAGACATCTGCAAAGACCTTTTGCATCCATATACTTCTCCCTGCTGTTCTTTCCTGCTTATTAAGCACTATTTTTTTTCTCTTGTTGCAAGAGCATTTGGATGGCTCCAGAATGAATAATGAGTCCTCTTAGGGGGAGATAAAGCGGGATATAATAATAATAATAATAATAATAATAATAATAATAATAATAATACTCCTGTATTTCTCACCAACAGCATACAAAGTAGGTATGGAAGACAGAGTATTCCATGGTCCTGATACAATATTCCACCCTTCACTTCCCAACAACCATTCTCTAGCTGTGGTCTGCTGCTATGATTTCTTTCTCTAAAGGGGACATTTTTTGCTATTCTCCAAGCCTTGCACTCTCAGTGTCACAATGGCTGTGGTGGGGAGGAATGGCACTGCAGTTGACTCTGCACTCCCCCTCCTTTCCAAATAATCAATAAGGCTACAGTCCTGCATGTCCTTAAGCAGGAGACCCCAATTTACCCCAGCTCCCACCTGCTGCTACCCACACAGTATAAATTTAACAAGCTTTCCTTTGTCTCTTCCTTTCCTAGGCTGACTGTATACACAGCAGAGCTATTTTCTATCCCAGGGGCCACTTTTGCCAATTAGCAGGAACACTCAGTCTTGGGGGGTGATGGCACCTTTTTCAGTGAATTTAAGTTCTGTAGCCTTAGGAAGTTCTGTATCCTAAGAGTCTGTAGCCTTAGGAAGGTTAAATCACACCTCAGCATTCATTTTCCAGTTTTGTGCTATTGGCATAAATCTCTGGATTGTGTTTTTGTTGATTTTAGCCTCAATTCTCTTGTTAACTCCAAGTAGAGGAGACACACCAAATCAATTAAACTTAGGGTCCTCCTACACTATGCTAAATCCTAGAGGAAGTGGGTTAAAAAACCCACTTCCTCTTGGGTTCTGGTCCCCACCCCCAATCCAAAACTCGAGCTTTCCTGGGAGAGGTGGCTAGATGGCACTCTGGGTCAAATAAAGGTTGACTAAGGATGCTATCCGGCCCCTCTCTAACACCCCAGTTCACCCCCAAAATTTATCAAGGGGCCTGTGGGCCGTGCAGACCCCTCTCTACAGGATTTCTGGCATGAGAAAATGGCATGTCAGGAGGTGTGAGGGGAGGAGTGATTTCCCTATCCCCCACCCCACCTCCTGACATCGTTTTCTTGCTTCAGGGGGACTGTAGAGAGGGACTTACTTTGCCTGCAGGCCCCTTCAGTAAGTTTTGGGGGCAAAATGGGAGAATGGAAGGGGAGAGGGCACCATCCTGCTACTCCAGGCTTTTGGGAGCCTGAAGAAGTGGGATGGCTGTGGGGACAGACCACAAGGACCGCAGAAGCCCTCATGTCTAAAGACCTTAGCTTAAGGTCCAGATCTTTAGAGATGTTTAATTAATTAAGAGTAAACTGTGAAAACCTGGGTTACTCTGCATTAATTTTCTTTTATCTGAGGTGTTGTTTGTATGCCTAAGGTAAAAACAAGACAGGTTCTGCATTTTGGGCCTGTCTGGTAGGGCCCCAAATAAGACCTGAACGTCCAAGACATGGCCAGAAGTATCGATGAAAGGGGCTCTTGGAGGTATCTCATTCATACATATACTGTACATAGGTGAAGTCAACTTGCTGGCAAATAGTAAAAATAATTTGGACACCACTTGATTACATAAATAAATAAATAAATAAATAAATAAATAATCATAAAACAGGCTTCATAGGTCTCCTTATATATCATATAAAACTGTATGCAAAACAAATTGTTCTCATTGTAAGGCGAGCTTCCATCTGTCACCAATATGTATGAAACCAGGATAAACAGAGTCCCAGTCAAAACACTGAACAGGAATACAGCCAGTGACAAATGGAAGGTGGTGAAGCATTGATCTAAAACAGCACTAACAGAGCATCAAAACGGTAACATTGGTCCCTGTCTTATTAGTCAATAAGTTGAAAACAATCTGCAAATGTGCATTTAAGGCAGTGCCAGAGAAGACCACACCAACTTTTCAAGGTATCTGGAGGAAATGCCTAGATATATTCTTGTGATACTGGGAGCAAGACTTACAGAAAAAGAAGGATGCCAGTGTTGGCCATGGCATAGGCTAAACCAAGGATCCCACTTCCCATAATGGCATTGCTGAGATTGAAGACAGACATTCCAAAAGAGGTCTTTCCTTCAAACTGTAAGGGAAGAGAGATGAAGAGTGCATATATAGAAGAGAGTATATATATATTGTAGAAGAAACCATGAGCATTAGCCCTAGGGTTGCCATAAATTAAAAACAACTTGGAGATTTTTTTAAAAAATCCTGGATTTCAATAAGTTTTTCTATAGCTTACTCTGAAAAGAGCCAGCATTGCCAAAGATAGTGCTCCTTCATTTTTACTTCTTTTGCTTCTAGGTTGAAGACAACAGGGAAAAGGTGCACACCTCCATCAGAAATAAGTTTACACCTGGTTCACTGACTGCCTGTTTCTATACTAGAAGGTAGCAAATGATGGAGGATAACTTTCTGGAATGGATTTATAGCATTGCTTTCAAATGAGTTTGCATTGTACTTTTTGGCAGTTCCCCAGCTAAAATAATCAAGATCCATATTAGGTGTGGGCAATTGCACGTGAAGGAGCACCTAATTTTCACTTCTGTGCCCACTGCCCACAGGCCACTTCTGGGCACATTAATAGTGATTTTGTGTTAGCCATCATTTTAAGCCAATTCACACTGAAATACGAGAATTTCAGAGAGTTTGAGGGTTCTAGGAGGGTAAAAAAAGGCACCTGACATGTTTAAAGGCAGTTTGAAGTGTTTTAATGTGGTTTGCAGGAAGAAAACTATCTGAAATCATACTGAAATTCCATTTTTAAATATGTGGGAGGTTGGAAGGCTTCAGGGGACTTCTAGGGTATACCAGTTGGAGTCCAGGGGGCATTGGCTGTGTGTAGATGACCATTTCCCCAATCTTGTTCTATACTTTCTGGATGGATGTCCAAGCCCAAATTCAATTGTGTGCATCAAAACTTACATCTGTGAAATGAGTATGTTTCTTTTCAGCTCCATGAGGAAGGAACTCCTCCATCTCTGGCTGGTTCTCGTCAAATCTGGAAAAAGACCACAAAGAAGGATAACCTCTTTCAAATAGCAGCCTCCATTGTAAAACTAACAACTCTGATTTACAGAACAGGAACAAATAACTATGTAGACTGATTTCTTCTGTGCCTCATATTGCAGTTTTCTTAGTCAACAATGGAGAATCAGAATATCCATTATCTGAGAGCCTTTCCCCTAAATCTGTTTATATTTTGACTGACATGCTGATGAGGAGATATTGGAAAAATAGATATTTATTTATGTAAAAACTGTATGTACTTTACAAGCATTGAAATGTATAGAAAAATCAGGCTCTCTCTGTATCAGAAATCCAAGCTGCTGTCCAGGCACAGCAAGAGGGGGGCTGAACATTTCAGAAGAGGGGGACATGTTATCTGAACATTCCAGAGACTGGTACCGAGCCCAGTGTCTAACTTCTAAGAGAGGAGCCTATATCTCCCTCATGACAGGTCAAAGTAGGCCCCTTGATTGATGAATGTAAGCTGTAAACTGTATGCTGCTCCTAGAAAGAAATACAGAACATGCCTTTTGTATGTTGGAAGATAGAATTTGATATTCATATGATGCTGAAGTGACACAGAGAATGACGTCAATGTATGTAGAAGCATGTTTCTTTGTTTGGCTGCAATTGGAGGGTATAAAGCCATAGTCAATGCCTTTATCATTTGCTCTGGGTGCTTTTGGACACAGCTCCACTCCAGAGCCCAGCTGGAAATAAAAGCTGTACTTTTCTGACCTCCTGAAAGGATTTCTCTTGATATAATCCCTCCTATAATATGCTGCAACAATGCAAGTCTTGAGAATTAAAAACTATAACAGTTGATAAAATGATTCAGGAAAATGTGTCACTTGTCCCAAAGATGTTCCAAGACTCCGCATCATAGACATTCCAGATAGCACCAACAAATAGGGCGATGACCTAATTGTCACAGTTATAGAATGCACGTTGAATACCAACAAATTATCCTAACAAATGAAGCTTTCCCAGAAGTTTCATGTCCAGCTACACCTTACAGGAAGTTGCTCTGGCAGCAGGTAAGAAATAAATAAAACCACAGGAAGTTGCACAATCTCAGTTATAACTACACCCCCATTATTCAGATTCACTGCTTCTCCTCCATTTGTTAATGGAATTTAGATTACTTAGCTGTTTGGTGCACTCACACATCTGAACACTAAATTATGGCTGGACAGATGAGCAAGAATAATGGACACTTGTTCTGCACTTGTCCAAGGAGTTCAAATTTCATGAAGAAGTACTGGGAGACATAGCAGTATCTCTACACACACACACGTTCTCCTCTATAGTTAAACCTTACATTTCAGAGGGCTTACAATAAAATAAATTTAAGACAATTTTAAAAAATCTTAATTATATATTAAAAGAATCTGAAATTTTAAAATGAAACAGTTTATAACATGCTAAAATAGTTTTAGATGGTTCTGATTATGCCATGCAGCTAGGCCTGAGGCAGAGCTTTCCAAAATGTGTTGCAGCACATTAATATGTTGCCTGCAGTGTCTAAGTCAGCGGAGGAGGCCCTGCTCTAGGTCCCACCACTATCTCAAGTACGGCTGGTGGGAACGAGAGAAGAGGGCCTTTTCCGTGGTCATCCCCACCGCTGGAATTACCTCCCTCAAGAAATAAAGCTGGGCCCCTCCCTCCTCTCCTTCAAAAAACAACTGAAGACCTACTTATGCTCACTAGCATATGGAGAGGAGGAGGTGTAGATAATGAGATATTACTACTGGGCCCTGGTTGAGAACTATTTAATATTTGGACTCACCTAGTCCATGCCAGCCCAATTACCATTGTTTGACTACACAACCAACCCACACTGTTTGTGAACCCTAGTTGGCTGTTGTAAATTAATGTGGATGTTTGTTTAGATTTGATGTTATTATATAATTTTGTTTCACTACATGTAGTTTAATTTATTGATGTTAGGCTTAAATTACTGATGTTAGGCTTTAATTTGATGTTAGGTTTTACTGCTATTTTCATATGTGGGGGTTCCCTAGGATTTTATGGCAGTATTTGTTTGTTTTATGAAGGCATTGAATGTTTGTCATTGTTATGTTGGAATCTGCCCTGAATCCCCTTGTGGGGAGATAGGGCAGAATACAAACAGTTATAATCATCATCATCATCATCATCATCATCATCATCATCATCCAGTTTTTCAGACTGCAATCTGAAAAATCCCCTCTGCTAACATAGTTGCTAAATGAGAGAGTCTGGGATTTGTGATTAGAGGAAACTAAGTTTTTCAACATGTGTCTAAGATATAAATGTAGCTGCAGTTCCCAATTGTCTTCAAAGAGGAGATAATATTGCTTTAAGGGAATTTCTGTCCAACAATCTGCCTCTTGGTCAGACAGTCCAGGACTTCTGGTTCTGCACCAGCTTACCTGTCATTTCCCATAGATGGACCAGAAGAATTCATCACTGTATGTTTTCCATTGGGCACCAGTTCTACCATCTCAGTTTGAATGGGGATCTCTGTGGAGTTCATCTCTGCACTCTGTAGTGAGCAGACACTTAACCTTTCAACAAGCAGCTGATCTTTTAGACACTGAGTTTTCAGACAAGCAGCAGGTCAATGTGTGAAGTTCAAATCTGCAGAGGCCAGTCTCTGTAATGATGCAGTTTCTGGAAAGAAACATTGGTCAATCAGATATTTGTCCCAATTAAAAATGCACACATCAAAGACTTAGAATAGAGCATTTAAAGTCTGGAAGAGAAACGCCGACACTGTTGTATGTATTCAAGCCCTAAATATAAAATTTTGGATAACTCAGTCAAGAAGGCATTAACTAGATTTACCTTTTGTCTCTCTTTCCATTGCTGTATTGTTTTTACACTGTACTGTTGGCATTAACTTGGTTTTACAGTATGTAGTATTTTACTACTGTTTATTGACTGTATTTTATGTCTACAATTTACTATAGACTGTCAGAGATCTCCAGTTATAAAGGCAATGCGTAGTATAAATAAAGTGAATTAATTAATGACTAGCATTCTATATTTGTGATCTAGACTTAGGGATCTGTAAATGCTTCAGCAACATTACATAGTCATGAACATGGCACTACTGCTACACTTGTAAATTCCTCTCCAAACCTACTTTAACAGCCAATAGCCACACTGGGCAAAGGAGATATGTTCAGCTGCTGACTGGGATTCATGGAGGATGACATCTCCTTCTTCCTCCTAGTGAGCAAGGTTCAACAACCAAAGCAGGACCACTTTTGAAATTTCTTGTCACAGTCCCACTAATTGGCAGCAGGGAGCTGGAAACATTGTCTTCCTTGTACCTTTATATATTCCATTGTGAACAGATCTCCTTTTCCTGATGCAACTGCTGCCTACTAAGGTGGGTTTGGAGGATTGTGCCAAGAGACATTACTCAGTTACACACTTAAATAGCTAATGCAGGATAAGACTATAAAAATCTAGTATAAAAATCAATCATAATCTAAGTGCTTCCAAGTGGGATCTTAACAGATCCTGCTGGAAACTGTTGACTATCCCTGGACAGACAATACAATCCATACTGTTAATACTGGTTTGGGGAAAGCAAAAACTGAAGAACATCTTGAACTTCTTCAGACTTCAATTCCCAAAATAACATGATTGGTGCTCGATATATCTTATCCAAGCTCTGAGCAAGAGATTATATGAGTGGTCATTTGATATCTACTAAACCATGGGGGATTCCTCTTTTATGTTTTCACAGGTCACCTTGTCCATTGGCTCTGGGCTGGCCTGTTTCCCACACTTCCACCTGCTAGTGTTTCTCAGTAGAATCCTAATACCGATCTCCTTGCACACAGTGTACCAACCGATTTAGGTGTGCTAATAACCTTCCACTGTAAGCAATGCTAAACAAATTCATGACATCATGACTAGTTGGCCTTCACGTTTATGCCAATCACATAGTAAACAGTAAACAGAAAAGACAGAAGGGTTGAGTCAGAGAATCTGGAGACCAAAGAGCCAAGAATGTGAAAATCGGTAGCATGTCAAGTTTCTTGAATAATTTCTGGTTGCAATATGATCAACTCTGTAAGAACATTAGGCTCTCCTGTCAAAAGACATTTCAAACCCAATTCCTTCTCTCTTTTAGAACATCAAACCCAAACTTCCTGACTGCTCAGCTTCTCCACACCTACTTCCATGGGATACTGTTCTCTCTCTTTCCAACTGAGATAATGGCAGCCCAAAGGACACATACTGCCCTTCACGACTTCATAAAACCCATTTTCCTGCTAGCATCCTCATCTTGAACAAAGAACAGTTGTATGCTGGTCACAGACCCTGATACCTTTTCTTCCCCTTGGAATTTGTTTCCTGCTTCTATTCAAGTTCTATTCTTCCTCTTCCACTCAGTATCCAAAATTTTCTGCCTATCTCTAGTCTATTGGTGCGTATGGCTTCCTTCAGACACTGCCTCGGAGTGACCCTGCACTAAATGTATTGTTCATCCTGCCAATATTCTATCAAAATCAGCAGTGACTGAGCTTAGGAGCAGGGAAGAGGCTTGGGTCACTTCCCCTTCATGTTTAATTTGTGAACTGAACATTTCAGAATTCACAGACACATTGAATCTCAGGGTTGAAAAATACCACAAGGGCCATCTAGTCCCACCTCTTGCCTTGTAGGGAAATACAATGAAAACCAGAGGAAAAACTAGAGACTCCTGTATCTTTAATGGTTATGTAGAAGAGGGGTTTTAAGCAGGTGTTGTTAATTGGTTGTCTGACCAGCAACACCTGCTGAAGTTTCCTATTCTACAGAAACATTAAAGGTACAGGAGCCTTCTCAAGTTTACAGTCTCTCCTTGCCCTATTTTTTATCTTGACAAATATGTGAGTTACATTTGTCTGGCTGGTACTGCAGCAAATTGATTGAGGTTCATGTCTGAATTGGAATTTGAACCAGATCTTATTAATGTGCTTCCAGGCAGCACCAAAATGTACATTTTAAATCTGGGGCAAAAAAAAAAAAGACCGGGACTTGACAGCAGGTCCACACACAGACCTGTCAGTCCCAGGAAATGGTCCCTTGCTATTCTCACTTTTTCCCTTTAAAGCAGATCAAGATGATGGGTGAACGGGAAACATCCAGTGGAAGTTTTTTTTAAAAAAAAATCACTCTATTATGTGCTAGACCTCATATGTTCACATGTGAATATCTTAATGTAAACATAAGCAGATTTCTTCTCTCTCTTGTCACCCAGTTGTTAATTCAAGCTCTGTTTAATATTATAAAGTTTAAAGGAAAGAGTTTCAGAGAATTGTAATTGCTTTCCACTTGTGCTTCCCTTGAGCCACCTGGGTGACCTTGGCTCCATATTTTGACAGCCCAATCAGCTGATCAGCTGTTTTGGCCTTTTAAAATGTTCACGTGTGCTGTAGCAGTCCACATATGGAAAGGAAAACATGTGTTTTGCATCACTACAGTGATATACAGTCATGCAAAGGTGCACATTTTTAAGACAGAATCGGGTTTTAAGCAGCCCCTTTTAACCCGATTCCACCCGCACTTTGGCTAAATGTCTAGCCACACAAACCCTAAGTCTCACTAACCACCAGTTGGTAGTAGTACGTTTTATTGATTAGCCTATTAGCCATATCAAAAACATATGATAAACACATACACATACAGTACAACATAAGTTAAAATAAACAAGCTGTTAACAAGATCCTGATCCAAATCAAATATCTGAATCACCTCTACAGTTTACCCCAATCGACTCTAAATATGCTGTTCTCAGCTGCGTTGCTTTAAATAGAAAAGGGCCATTTTATGTTATTTTAGCATTCTCACTAACCACTATAAACCTTTTCACTTGCCCTAGAGCTAGAGATGGCTTTTTGTTGCAGAATCGAGCACCCGGGAATACAAAAAGCCCGGCTGTGCTTTTGAGAATCCTGTCTTATCTTATGGTGACAAAAGAATCAGCCGTGTTTGAGGAAATGTGTCAAGATAATTGAAAATGCTTCAAGAGCTACCAGCTGTATAAAAATATCTTTCATAAGCTGTTAAATTATTCTATTTCTAATTCTCCCCATCTATTTTATACACATACACATTCCCCTCTCCATTTCACTCTAGAGCAAGAGCTGAGATGTGGTACTGAACCACCTTGTGGTGGCCAAAGCAAAAGTTCCTGTTTTGTTCTTCAGTGGAATAGAAAGCAAATAAACCAGAAAATAAAGAATAAAATGAATCCCAAGCTTACTTGTTATTCAATACTGCCAGTTACTCTCTTCAGATGGCTTAATTGCAACCTCCTTTCAACATATCAAAAAGATGATAACAATAGTTTAGGCAGAAAACTACTGATCCAATGTTTCCATCCTGCCAGATTTGAGAGTCAGGTCATTGTATTCAGAATCCAGCAGGGTGACAAGTTTTTGTTCGTAGGCACATCACTTTCTTTGATTTTTTAGGGCATAAATCAACTGATAAGAAGTAAGCCAGTGGGAACAGACAAGCAGGGACAGACAAGTACAGAAAAGAGTTAGCTGTGGTATAACAGAAAAGAGAATCAGTACAATATGAACAGCACTCTGCAGAAGGTTTTGACTGTACAAGGTTGTGATGATGCTTTTGCTTTATCACTGGGAAATTCAGACCAGAGGGTGGCACATGATGATACATCAGTCAGTTTTAACCATTATTTGTGATCATGGGATTTTCATAATTTAAGTAATCTTAAAGCATTATTGAGTTTTCTTTAAGATAGACAAATCCCCATTTTAGCAGGAAAAGAGTCAGCCCTCCCACATTGTTTCAGAACTCCTTTCCTAAGAAGCAGGTCACCATTCTCTCCAGGCCATCCAATTGTTTATTCAAGCTCTTTTCAATATTATAAAGTTTAAAATAATTTCTGAGGTTCTAATTGTATTCCATTTGTGCTTCCTTTAAATCAGCACATTGGGAACAGAATGAGAAGCCCCTAAATAAGCATGGAAAATGGCATTACCTGTTTCTCATTAGAAAAAATCCAGACATTGAAGTAAATCTACATAGAGCCCAAAGCTTGCTCGCTAGGCTTGTCACTATTGTCAGTTCAGTCAGAACTCTGCATCTAATTTGGTTTTGCTGAAATAATCCAATGTGCATATTTAGAAAGATTGTCACTGCCTGCTCTGGGAGATTCTTGTCCTTTTGCAAGCTGAAATTAAACCAATGTGATTTCTCTCAACATGAGGATAGTATAGAACAGTGTGGTGCCTCCATTTTGGGGTTAGACAAGAGTTGGCCTTTTAACTACCTAGACAGGCTGTGATTACATGTCTTATTAAGTCTAGTCTAGCCTAGCCTTGCATGATGTAATACAACATAGGTTCCAAGATGTAGGCATGGCTGGACGCAGAACCCAAACATTACATGGTAAGAAACCTCTGTGAAGTTCTTTTTCTTTGCTTCTTGAGCCTTTGGATCAGCTCTGAATAAGCTGTTAAGATGTCTGAGAGATTCACATAATTCTAGAGGGACAAAGCAAGATAACCCTGTCAAAAATCTTGTTACATCTGCATATTGCAACAGCCACCCTGAAAACAGGGGAAAGTAATGAGATAAGCAGATATCTCTCCCCCCCCCCCCATGAATCGCAGAAAAATTAACACTAGCATAATCAA